TGCTGGGCCTCATGGCGGTGGAGGCGCTGCATGTCCTTGCTCTGGAGGGGCTTCACGAATCACGATGAAGTCCTCGGCGCCGGCATTCAGTCATCTGCTCCGAGCAAGCAGCAGATCGTGGAGACGGGGACGAAAGATCGCTGTCGTCACGGGGCCAGGAGACGGGGGCGGAGGCGCGATCGTGGGCCGCATGGGACTGGAGACGGTCACAATCGGCAGAGGCGAGGGCTGGAGACGGTGACGCCGCCACCTGATCCTGGTCCTGATGCTCCACGCGCGACAGGGACGAAGGCGCGGTCGTGGGGTGGCGGTAGGGATGAAAACGGTACGGATATTTTTCGACCGTATTTGAAACCGAATCCGTTTAGAGGTGTTGAGATCTGTCTGTATTCGAGTCCGGATACCCAACATCCGATACCGTATCCGTATCCGAATACTCAAATCGCATATTTATGATGTCGATATCCAATCGTATCCTATCCGACATAGTTGACACTATCCTTATTCGAATCCGAATCCGGACAGAAATATGAAAACAAATGTAATATCGGTGATATCCGTCCGTATCCGATCCGTTTTCATCCCTAGGCGGCGGGGCCTGCAGACCGCGAGCGCGAGTGGGGTTCGGAGGCAGGTCCTAGAGGCGTGCAGCGCCGGCCGCTGGAGACGGTGATGCCGGAGGTGGTGTAGTCGACCCGGATGTCGCGCGGATGTGTTGCCTTGCGCGCGGATACATCAATCGCGGATGTCGCGCGGATGTCTTACCCGGATGAGGGCAGGGGGCTGAGTAGGGTACCGATATTTTCCGACCGTATTTGAGTCTGAATCCGTTTAGAGGGGTTCAGATCTGTCCGTATCCGAGTCCGAATATTCAACATCCGATACCGTATCCGTATCCGAATACTCAAATCGCATATTTATGATGTCGACATCTAATCGTATCCTATCCGGCATGGTTGATACTATCCATATTCGAATCCGAATCCGACTAGAAATGTGAAAACAAATATAATATCAGTGATATCCGTTCGTATCCGATCTGTTTTCATCCCTAGGGCTGAGTAGGGATGAAAACGGTATGGATATTTTCCGACCGTATTCGAAACCAAATCCGTTTAGAGAGGTTGAGATCTGTCCGTATCCGAGTTCGGATATCCAACATCCGATACTGTATCGTATCCGAATACTCAAATCGCATATTTATGATGTCGATATCCAATCGTATCCTATCCGACATAGTTGGCACTATCCGTATTCGAATCCGAATCCGGACAGAAATATGAAAACAAATATAATATCGGTGATATCCGTTCGTATCCGATCCGTTTTTATCCCTAGGGCTGAGGAGTACCATACACGAGATCCTGACCATCACATATGAGTTGCGTTTTTTTCTTTTGTATATTTTGTGGGTGCGTGGAGGAAGGCCATCTACGCGGGGAAGGTTTTTTCGGTAGACTTCGCATAGAAAAATATGGTGCTTTAGTAGTGTAGATATTAGATTTTCTTTTCCACATATTATCCTAAACCAAGTTTAAATTGATTGTTCGAGCCCTAAACGAATTTAAATGAAAAAGTTGTCAACTATAAAGTTGTATAACTTTTCGAAATCTACTACTTTCATTTTGGTAGTTTATCCATATGAGGTCTTTACAAAATTTGAATTTCAAATTTGAGAAATTCAAACGTAGTTTATCTTGACAAGATGATCTCAAATAAAAAAGTTGTCAACTACAAAGTTGTATAACTTTTGAGATTTACAACATTCATTTTGATTGTTTATCCATCTATGGTTGTTTGAAAAATTCAAATTTCAAATTTTAGAAATTCAAACGTAGTTTTCTTTGACAAAATGATTTGAAATGAAATAGTTGTCAACTACAAAGTTCTATAAGTTTTCGAGATCTACAACTTTCATTTTGGTTGTTTCAACATCCGAGGAAGTTTGAAAAATTTAAATTTCAAATTTGAGAAATTCAAATATGGTTTTTTTGACAACATGATTTCAAATGGAAACGTTGTCAACTATAAAGTTCTATAACTTTTCAAGATCTGCAACTTTCATTTTGGTCATCTTTTCATGTGACTTTGTTTTATGACTTCAAAATTTGAATTTCAAAAAATGTCAACTTGAAACGATATTTTGAAAGAGTAAATGATTTTCGCTGAAAAAGTCATCAACATAAAAGTTGTAGAAATGATCAAGATTTACAACTTTTATTGTAGTCATGTCTTCATCCGATAAAGTGAAATTAACATTGTTCACAAATTTTACATATCTCAAAGTTTATGAAAATATATGAGAGATATGTAAATTTATGAATAATGTATAGCACCACTTTGTCGGATAAACAAATGGCCGAAATAAAAGTTGTAGATCTTGATAAGTTCTACAACTTTTATGTTCATGAGTTTTTATTGTTTGAAGTTGTCATTTTTTAAAATTCAAATTTTGAATTGATAAAACAAAGTCACATGAAAAGATGGCTGAAATAATACAAGTAAGAACACAATAAATTGATAGAGCAAGATTTAAGAAAATTTTAGCAAAAAAATTATCAAATTTAATGTTAGTACGAGGGAAAAAGAGTAGTTACAAGTTTAGCCTGAGATTAATTTTTTTTTGGAGTTGTTTAACAATTTAAAAATTAAGTTTCATAGACCATTTTCAAGCAGTAAAGGATTTTAAATGAAAAAGTTGTAAATAACAAAGTTCTATAACTTTTCAAGATTTACAACTTTTATTTTGGTCATTTCTCCATCCGAGGTCGTTTGAAAAAATTCAAATTTTTGTACTTAATTTTTACTATTCAGTGCCTATTTGTAGGGGCGACTCAACTATAAATAGGGCTATCTGTAGGGGTGACTGATAACACAAGCTGACCCTACAAGTGGATTTATAAGGGTGGCTCGTTTGGGATCCATGTGCAGGGCGGTTCAATATAGAGCCGCTGTTACAAAAAAAGGGAGGTGTTCCTACAAATCCTTACTGTAGTAGTGTTGGTATGCAGTCTCGTCCTATGAGTGCCATGTCATATGCTACTGAGTGCCACGTCATATATGCCACCGCGTGTCCGATTATGATCGACAACTTGCTACGCGTGTCGTATCCCAGAAGTGCCACATCTTGTCGAATTGGTACATCGTCTGTCAAGAGTGCAACACATGTCCAACAAAGTTATTTGTATAAATTTTATAAATTTACGGTTTAATTACATATTAAAGAAATCTATAAATTTAATTACATAAAAAATATAAAACCCGTGTGTAGATCTGGTTTATAGTAACCTTACAAAATCTATTTAACTTTTTTTAATACTTGTGTGACTCATTATCTTAATCACCAATTTTAATTTAACTTTGTTTAATTAATACTTATGTGATTTATTATTATTTATTTTACAAGTTTAAACTGATCTGATTATTTTAAAAATTAATTAAAATCTAATAACGGACCAGGGACACCACGAGGTGCTCCAAAAAATTTAGCTCCCGCCCCCGTGAAAACCTACGATGCTAAGTACAAACGGGCCCGCCAATTTCCCTCCCTAAAACGCGGTTTATAGATTCCAAAATCATAGGCCTCGGAGAGACGAGCGCCGTCGCCCACGTCGCGCGGTTCGTGTCCTTCGATCGGATCTACTCCACTGCTACGGCAACGGAGAAAACTGCATCAAGGACGTCGCCGTCTACTACCTCCTCTAGGTCGCCATCTCCTCCGCTAATTATACAGAGGCCATCTACTAGGAGATTGCCATCTCCTCCGTCGAGGTCGCCCGATCCTCCGTTGTCCACCAGGAGACTGTCCAGACGGCTGCGATCCCATGAAGCCGAGGACACACCTTCTCGTGGACAAAATAAAAGCGAGAATGAAGACGATGACCTACCCAGGTACGCATTCGATGGGCTTAGTTTGCTAATAACCCTACCGAGTTTGCTAGGTTTATTAGTTCTTCGCCTTGAAAAAGATAGAAATTAGAAACTATGTATTTTACCAGATACTTTTGCGGTTCGGAACTGAATGGAAAGGATGAGTAAAGCACTAGTAGATAGTTAGATCCCATAGTAATTATATGGGTATTTTTGCATAATCACAGTGGTAGGTTTTTCTCATTACCCAGTCACCTGGTGCGTCTATCAACTAGATTATGTTTTCTGTACTACCAACCTAATATGAGTAGCACAAAAGTTCTTGTATTTTCTCATGAAGAATAAATCATGTGTCTGTAGATGTTGAGTATATATTAAGACAACGAGATTAGTGGATAAATACCTGCACTCCCCATGCCAGGCCAACAGATAAAATTGCAGAGGGAGCAGACCATGATCCATCTGATCTGCGAGCAACCACAAGACCAGTGCCTACTTTGTATGTAAGAACTGCACCTGAATTGGCAACTGTTAGAATTGCAAGTCCCTTAGCTCGCTTGTATATAAGAACTGCACCTGAATCTAGCAACCTACACATTCCAAAAGACAAATTCCAGGTTCCAAACCTCTGACATATATGAGGTGCTCCAAAAAATCTTTGTAGTTTTAAGCTTTCAATTATAATTGGTTGGATGTGATACAACTGGGGTATGCTTGTGTTTCCTGGGAAGAGATAGGATAAGTGCACACATGATGTTATAACACTACTGTTTCTATTGAAAGAACAATATAGATATTGGGTAAATTTGAAAATTGAGGTACTGACCATACATAAATTGACCATATTGCAGTGAATAATTTTATATGGTTTGTTCCCAAAATTATTAGGAATTTGCCATATTGCAGTCATTAATTGATTTTACAATCATAAGATAAATTTGTTGAATGAAGTTAAAATATTTTGTAGGAAAACACACGAGAAAACGGGAGATTGATGGAAAATATTTATTGATTTCTCGGGGGGGCCCAAGGACCAGCAACGTGCCATATTGGACATTGACCGTGCTACAATTACCTTTGCCAACTTATTAAAGTACAAAGTTAAGTTGGGTTATTCGGCGAGGGACTTCATGTACTATATGAAGAGATGTGGCAACGATAGAGCTTTGCTGCAGCGTATAGATTACGAAAAAGATGCATTGACAATGATAGAAGTTTGTACAGAAGAGAAGACAATTAGGATAGCAATTTCAACAACTCAGGTAGATCAGGAAGGAGAATATTCAATCACACCGATTAAGCAACGTAGTACACATGAGGAAGTTAGTGGAAAAGGAATTCAGGATGAAAACATTGATGCGTACAAGGTGTGGCTCAATAAGCTGCCACAGGATGAAAACAACCCAAGTACTAATGTACTAGAAAAATACATCTCAATGATTTTTAGTTACTGATCTAAAACTAACACTATATATATAACATCTATATATGCATCTCGCAGAATTTAAGGATGACACCCGGCTGAATACTGTTGCAACATATAAAGAATGGTTGAGGAGGGAAGGGCTTCTTCAAGATATATGTAATCTGATTTTGTTTTATCTTGGCATTAGTGGAAGCATTAATATATATATATATATATTTTTTTTTCCAACTCCATTGTAACTGTGTACTTTCACTTTTTTGTATGTGCAGACGCATATTTAGATGATGAAACCATTGAAGAAGACGGAAGTGGTGACAATAGCGCAACACCAATGTAGTTTCCAGCTCATGCTCGTAGGCCAAAGGCCTCTCAGAAAGGTATGCAATGGTTCAGAGTGTTCATACATTACTATAACATAAAAATGCTGATTTATAATGTTAACATACGTTCCATTTTATAACATCAATTTTATAGTAGGGGTTGGTGACAAGAGAAAGATTGGGCGTGGAACCTTGAAAGGTTTATCGGTCGAAGCTAAGAGATTTAAACTTGGCACTGAGAAACTTAGTATAGATTTCTCATCCACGAAAGGCGGTCCTATAGGAGATAACTATTGCGGGTTTGTTGATGAAATAGTTCGGTTTACAAGAAAAAGGACTCCACTTATTGGAGTTAAAAAGTGGGGAGATGTCAAGCAGATTGTTAAAGATAAAATAGCACTAGATATAATGGTATGTTATAGTCTTGCTCCCGCATATGATAAATTAATTCTTTGTAATATCTTATTTGTTCACAATTTGTTGGTATCCCTTTTCTACAGGTTAGGTGGAACATTGAGAACAATGATGATGAGAAGGCTAGGATATGGAAGATTGCAAAGTATCGTTACAAAGGATGGCGAGCTCAATTGAGTGCCACATACAAGGCATACAACAGTTATCATGAAAGAATGAGACATAAGCCAGATGATTTGGACATTGTGGAGTGGCACTACTTGGTGTTGTATTTTGGAAGTGACAAATTCCAGGTTCCAAGCCTCTGACATATATGTATTTATTGTCTGTATTTTTGTAGTGCAACTAACATATCTGTGTTTATATTAGCGAATAAGCACCACAAACTCTAGCAATTCGCAGCATCGACAGACAATACATCTTACAGGATCAAAACCTTTTTCACAAGTTAGTTATGAGCAGGTAATGATATGGAACCTAATCTTCTTCTTTTATTTTTACCTCAACAGTAACAATGTTCAATTTTCATATCTTAGAGAAACCTAGAGACTGGTGAAGAGCCAGATGGTTTGACATTTTAGAGGAGTACACGCACCAAGGAGGGTCGATGGTCTTCTGATGCTGCGAAGGAAATATATGTAAGTGCTACTTTGTTCATTAGTACTTAGTGATGTTGCAATTAGATATAACATAATTATTATATTGATGGTTGTACATGCCCTGATTGGGTGATAAAAGGTCATCATCTCCTTGTCCTTGTGTTGGGTTTGGCAATCCTATCTTTAGTTTCTTATTTATGCTATTTTCAGCTGTGCCACCTGTTCTTTTTGGTATAGAAAGTTTGGATGAGCCAAATGCTTCCAAACTTTTTCTGTGGTCTCCTGATAGCATATGGTAGCTGCTGTAATTTTTGTAGAATTTTCTATGCAAGTCTTGTATATGGTCTTTTATGCATCCTTGTATCTATTTTAATTTAGAAAAGCATCAAATAATTTTATTTTATGATGGCCATCATATTTTCTGGTGTCCATGAGTTATGTATGTTGCCATGATATGGTTGGTATGGTCCAAATGTAAGTTTGGAACATCGTTAATTCTTTAAGTGAGATGTTGGTCCCATATGGACAGATCTGGGGACTTAGAGAAGTTCACCTTGATAAGTTGGTTTCCTGGGAAACTTTTGAATACCAAAGTCGCAGATAATTGTCATATCTAGCTGCTGTTCAAATTTGAGGTCATTTGTCCTAGTGGTTTGAAAGTTACAGCTGTTTGAAGTTACCTCCCAGTTTTTGGGTGCTCTCTATTTCAGCAGAGTAGTTTATGTAATTCTGCTATTTCGAAGTACTTAAGTTCTGAATCATGCTTTGATGTATGAAGATGAAATCTCGAGAATTTTATAAGCTTTCCAGAATTTCCTCTTTCAAGTCATTTGGACTTGTATATCTCCAGATATGATTTATTTTCTGTACAGCTGTTGCATGCCTAGATTTATGGGAACTTGCTGGAAAGCAAGTTGCTTATGTTAGATGCTTTATGTAGTTAATTATGTTCTTTAAAGTGATTTGAATAGAGCTGGGCTACTCAATAAACGAGTGTCCAGTGATGTATGTTCTCATAACATGTTTTATTCATTTATCTCCAATGTCATACATATCTCTGAAATGCTAGAGTTCAACTGTCCATTGCTTTTTACCTCTCAACATGCTTTGCTAGGAATCATATTTGCATGATTAACATGGACTTGGATTTTTTGAGGAAGTAATCAGTACATGAATCCAACTGATATAGTTTGATTTCCAAAGTATCCATTTTACCTAATTCTTATTATACTTGAACTGGAACTGCTGTTGCTACTTGCTAAAGTTGAAAACACTAATTGTGTTCTTAAATTTAGGAAAGCGCCTTCTCCAAAATTGCAGAGAGAATTGAGTTGGAAGCTTCTGTGATTTCAAAAGAACAAGAAAGGCACATTCTTCATGAAACCTACAAGGAAACCACTGGATGCAGGAGCAGGAAAGGTCCTGCACATGGATACTTGGTAAAGTATCCGACCCGAAGCCAACTTATGAATGAACGAATTGAAGAGCAAGCTCGTGCATCTGCATTAGCAGCAGCAGCCCAACAGAAGAATAGTGAGATGCAAGCTGAGGTAGAGAAGTTAAAAGAAAATCTTACCGTTCAAGCCACTGAGAGGGAGAGCGACAAGGAAAAAATTCAGCAGCTGCAACATCAACTAGAGAGTACAAGTAGCAAGATTAGAGAAGAACTAAGGCAAGAGTTTTTTTCACTAATCAAACAACACAATCAAGCACCGCCTTTGGTAATAATACTACTTCTTAATTGTTACCAACATCACTGATTTTAGTAAAGCTTGATTGCTAATGTTTCTCCTTATAACTCCAATGCAAGAATGCTGCACCAACCACAACAGCCCCTCAGCCTGCAGAAAATATGGTTAGTGGAAATGAAGGTGCAGATTTAGCACAGGTATTATTTTTTGATAAATGCAAACTGCGATGTAATTGATACCTATATTTAATCTGACATAATGTGTGAATCTTTTTTTAAAATATGAAGGCTGGTACAGAATCTGTCACACCCAATTTTAAGGATAAAATTGAATGCACAAAACTCGTGTGTGCCCAGGAAACAATCACACACACAAGCTGACAAATTACATAAAGTATCTTCACGGTGTCTCATACATCAGAGTTATAATGAAACTTAGTCTTATACATCACAGCAGAAAGATAAAAAGATAATAAACTCTCGTGGGCTTCATCACAGGGAAGGTCAACTGGTTGACCTCAAGCCTAATAATCCTCCAGGAAATCCTCATACCCGTTATCATCTGTTACCCATCCGGGATTTTTATCCAAGTAAAGAAAATAAACAAGTGTAAGTACATTCCGTACTTAGCAAGCTAACATGGGGTTATCACTAGTAGAGAACAGACCTTTGATCCTCGACCAAAATGGGCTCTAGTCCCGGAATTTTTTGCGCCCGGGACTAGAGATACCTTTAGTCCCGGTTGGTGGCTCCAACCGGGACTAAAGGTCCCCGCCCAACTCTGCGCGCAGACAGAGGTGGCGGGGACCTTTAGTCCCGTTGGAGCCACCAACCGAGACTAGCATACTACTTTACTCCCGGTTGGTGGCTCCAACCGGGAGTAAAGGTCTACTCCCGGGCCGTGGCTGCGCCCGGGGTTGGAAAGTTACCTTTAGTCCCGGTTGGATCCATCAACCGGGACTAAATGTTCTCCCTTTATAAATCGGCCGTCTCCTCCTTCCTCCCCGAGCCCGAGCTTAGCACATTTTGAAGCTCACTGCAGTAGTGTTCTTGCTTCCTCCCTCCCTCCATGGTTCCTCCATCCATTCTTCGATTCCTCCGTCGATTTCTTCGATTCCTCCGTCGATTCTTCAGTTGTAAAGGTTACCAATCTCATACTCTCATTTTTTACCATTTTCTTATGCCATTTTGTTCACTATATATATTTATGGTTCTTTATTGTGGTTTTTTTCATTTGTAAGCAATTTGAGCTCAAAATCACTTCAAGCTTGCATATTTACATGAAAGAAGGTTAAAGTATATATAAATATAAAGTTAGAAAATAGTTAGAAAATTATAGCAAATCCTTACTAGTTGAACTTGCGGACCGTGTTCAGGTCGGCGAGGATGTTCTCTGCCGAAGCGGAATTCAGACGTCAAGGAGGAGCTTTGATTCTACGAGGAGAGCGACAGCGGTCGTGGAAGACCGTGTTCCCTTCCTCGTAGAATCGGAGCTCTTCCTTGACCAAGTACGAGTGCCGTCCGGTGGAGAAATGCTCACGAAAGCTGATCACGTAAGCAAGGTCAACTAGTACGGATGGTTATTTATTCACATGTCCCGATATCGTCGCAGTAGTCTGTCAATCACCATACCTAAACGTAGTATATATAAATATAAAGTTAGAAAATAGTTAGAAAATTATAGCAAATCCTTACTAGTTGAACTTGCGGACCGTGTTCAGGTCGGCGAGGATGTTCTCTGCCGAGCGGTAACGGACGTCAAGGAGGAGCTTTGATTCTACGAGGGAGAGCGACAACGGTCGTGGAAGACCGTGTTCCCTTCCTCGTAGAATCGGAGCTCTTCCTTGACCAAGTACGGTGCCGTCCGGTGGAGACATGCTCGCCGAGCTGATCACGTAAGCAAGGTCAACTAGTACGGATGGTTATTTATTCACATGTCCCGATATCGTCGCTGTAGTCTGTCAATCACCGTACCTAAACGTAGTAGTCTGTTATGTGTGTACATTCCCATTCTTCTGTTAATTTGCGGAAATATCATATGAATTACTTACCTGCCGCAGTAAAAGACGAGAACACAATGACCATTAAAAATATCATTGTTTAGAGATCTAGATAATTTTATAGTTTGTTAATTTTATTTGTTTATAAAAGGAGAAATTTATAGTGTATTAAAAAATGAGTATAGAGAGTAGATGGCAACTGCTTCCGGGTCCTCGGCCTCTCATGGGTTTCCAAAGCGACTTAGGCCGGGCCTTCCTCTCATTCCATGCGGCAAGTGTCGTGATGAGACGAAGATTGTGATGGAGTACCGAGT